CACTCTCCAGTGCGCCACCAGGCCGGCCCTAGAATATTTGTGTCTTATTAAAGGATATTTTCCCTTTCCTAAATTCTGTAGTTTTGCCATACATTTAGTTCTCATTCAGGATATAATCTCACCTTGGTAAATCGGTGGTGAGGACAATTATATATGAGTTGTACTGCCCAGTTATTTAGGTATGTGTGACATTCACTTGATTTTAAATATTACTGAAATGCAATTCCTGACCTAACTTCTTAAATCGAAGTTACTGGATAACTGACTATTCTTAGGATATAAACCTTTTGATCTTAGAGAACATACTGTGACATTCACATTGTAAATTATCCACAGATATTCGTTGAATAGAAATAAATTATATTTCCAACCCCAGTGGTTGAAGATAATTTTCCATTAAGAAGATTTGGTACAATCTACAAGCTTATGACTTCACATCAGAATTCTAATCAGATTCTGTAGTGATTTGCACAACTCTTTTTGCACATTGAATTATCTTTCCAACTCCTTAAAAAAATGAAACAATCCTTCATCTCATCTTACATTTTCATATGCCTTACATCTCTAAGGCTATCATAAATCTATAACTGCATGCTGTATCTAGTGTCCCATGGAGTTTAAACAAATTCTGAAGTTCCCGTGGTGGACCATACTGCTTCTATTCCACCCGAAAACATTCCACACATGATATTATGCTTGGTTAAGAGGAAATGAAAAAGCCGATAATTTCAGATCACATTTAGGCAAATAGACCCAGATTCTGTGATGAGAAAAATATAAAGAATACTTGATCATCAAACAGCTCCACCAAAACACTTTCAATTGACTTTACCAAAAAATAAGTTTCTTACTCTTTCGCAAGTTTTTTTCTCTTCTTTCTTATGTCAGCCATCATGCCACTCAGTGAAGGTAAATTGTTCAATCCTAGAAAAGAAAGTGCACATTTGAACATGGCTTTCTTATTGAGAAAAGTGGTTTTAGGAAGAAATGGATACCCTGGGAGTCCATTTGGTAGAGAGCATCATGACTGAGGTCGCACAGGAGTAGGGGAGATGCTCTGGAGTGCCCTCTACTCCGGGCACTGTTTTATCAAGTGCACATGCCTGCCAGATGCAAACACTTGTCCTTGTCACATGCTGGATGAGTTCACAGCTTGACTAGCAGAACTCAAAGCCCATGAAAAAGGATGGACTGAGAGGAGTCTCGCTGAACTGACAATTCACAAATCAATTTGTCTGTAGTCCCATTACCAGAATATTCACTTTGGCTCTTTCAAGTACTGAATTATGCTGTTCATTTATGTTATGACTTAATTTACAAATATAGCTTGTAGTTATTGCTGGTGACTCAATATCTCCTGGTTGTTTTCACT